ATAATACTTTTTCACCTTCTACTCAATATAAAGTTCAGAAATTCTTAACAATAATGGACAAACTGTCACTTGCACTAAATAAGAGAATAGTAGCATATGAAAATCTCAGTTGCAAATCTTAGCTTCAACAAAACTTAATTAGTCCATGCCTTCAGAGGACCTCTGCATTGCTACCAAAAAGCCGATTAGTATGTATCCTATGGACATGAAGAGTGGCACAGAGGAAGAAACTGTTCAATTTGCCACCCTCTACCAGAATCCAAGAGTATGCTGAGAATGATATGTGACCAACCTCAGAAATCAACTTTCTCAAATGTCCTGATAATCTAAAGGATGTACCTGTGCCTTAAGTCATGCAATTACTCAGGAAAAAAGATCATCTTTGATGCTAAAAAGGATAAAGAACATACTTCAATCAACAATGTGTCACAAAAGGCAAAATGCACTAGCAATTTTTTGCATACAAAATGATTTATTAGAATAGTTTAACACCAAACAGATCAAAAATGCCTTTGCTATAAAAAGAGCCAGGAAGACAGTAGTTTAACTAAATACAGATGACATGATCTGCTACTACTGCTGGGCATAATGTGTGAGTACCACGTGATCTAAGAGTGTGTGCATGAGTTGTTGAGTTTATGATTATGTGGTTTCTTTCTGTCTATATGCTTTGTTGTCCAAATGCAAGTCTTTATCTGTGTTAGAGCACCACTTTTCCTATTCAAGAAACATCTAATATTGTTCATTAATTTGTAGACGAGTCTTGCAAATATATGGATTTTATTTTTCCATTGTCTCTAGAAGTAAAACATATCTTGGAGGTTTAGTTGTTTTTCTTACCTTATTCTTCAGTCGCAATCATAATAGGTGCAGTAGAAAAATCTTGCACCAGGCCTTCTGACATTTAATCCACCCTAAGTAAATTGAATGGTCATACGAAAGTTTTGTGAGGTTAATTGTACTGTCTATACTGTTTTGAATTATGAAATCACATATCACCATAGGGATTTGAGCTGACTTGCATACTTCTATAAAATAAAAACGACACATGCAAAAGGTAGTTTAAAATAAAACCATAACTGTACCAATTCTGTTTTCCTCACTAGGAAAAGTAAGTAAAATTTATTATATTAATTACTTAACATTGCTCTTACTTAGATTTTGAAATTCACCTTTCAATTCATTTCCTTTTCATAAATTCTTGATATTCCAATTCACAATTCAGAATGTCAGAGGTAATTTACTTGAGCTGGAAAGAGTATTCATTCTGACATCCTATTACTGCTGTTTTACATCACAAAATAAGTGAGTTTAAACAGTATTCCATTTTTATCAAAACAAGTGCCAGGTTTTCAGTAGATAACAAATATATGGTCAATAAAATAACGTAACAATTAAAGAATAGTGGACATATTTTTTCTTTATGTTATGATACCATGCTCAAATGTCCTCAGTGGCATGAAAGTAAAGGTGACTAACAGAACAATGAAATGCTAATCTTAAAGTTTCTTTATCTGAAAGAATTTACAAATATGGAGCTTAAATTGATCATTGATTCTGTTGACTAGCTTGGGATAATATCTTATAATTGTGTCACTTTTTAACAATGGTTTACAACATATCATAAAAACTTCAGAGATAAAATAAGTTCACTGTTACTTCTGACAAAATCTGTATCTTACCTGATAACACCTAAAAACTGTTAAATATGAGATCATTACAGAGATAAGTTTTACAAAATAAATATTCAAGATACAAGTATAACACATTTAATTTGACACTAATGAACAATTTTAGAAGTTCTAAGAATGATATGACATCTATGTTTTTGTAATAATGGGGATTGATACAGGATTTCACAAAAAGAAAGTATAAAATATATAAAAAAGATCTATCATTGTATCCTCAAAAGTACATGAAACTTGTATCTTTCTGAAAAATTATAATCATCATAATTTCCAAAGCTACCAATATTGATGTATTTGCAGTTGTGGCATCAGAAAAACTGAAATTTTGATGTTTATTTGAGTGAGGTTACTTATTTGGGATTGAGAAAACTACAGTCAACACTGAAATTTTGTTAATATTACTTTACAGTGGAAATGCACCAGAAGTAGAGCATTGCAAAATCCTGTATATTTCTCCCCCCCCCCAAAAATAATAATAATAAAAAAAGGCACTCAGTAAAATACATTATATTTGTTTTAATTAGGTCTAGAAAAAAAAACTTTGTTTCCTATTACATGCTGAAAAAAATAGGTATGTAGGTAGGAGGGGTATTTTTTTAAATGTAGATACATATTTTATTTTAAATGCAATTGTAATATATCAGATTGTACTAGATGCTAAGCATTATCAGAAAAAGTATTATTTAGACATATGGTCAATTCAGAACTAAAATTAAAAATAGTGATCTCTTTAGGTTAGTTAAGGTTAGATTAGGTAAAATAAGTAATAATAATAATATAATAAACATTTTTCACAAGGAACACACATGAGCAGCTCAGAGTAGCTTGTGAAAAATGTAATTCGATAACGTAATGTGAGCTGGATGTGCCTCAAGTGATTTACAGCTTATAATAGTGCAAAAAGTAGTTAGACATGGATCATAGGGCAATAATACAATATCATTTAAGTATAAATAGATGTATACTGTTACAAGTTTAAAGCTACTTATGATAAACAAATGTAGTTTCACACTACAATTTGAAGTCATTCTAAAAAGAAAAAAAGGTAATTCAGATTTTTTTTTGCTGGTTATGAAGTAAGTAAAATTGACCAACTTTGTATAGAAATAGGGTGGAGAAAATAAATAGATAAGATATATAGTTTTACTGTAAAAAAAAACGTTTGAAATGTATTTAGGAGGTTTCAGAGGTTATGCAAATGACATTTGAGATTTTCGAGATGAAGAAAAGTATTTTTAATCTTAACATGAAAATCACTGCACTCAGACTAGTAAAAAAAAGACAAAAAAGACTCAATATATTCATGGACAAATCTTTAGTAAAAATACTTCATTAAACATATCTGATTTTTTATATATAAAAGACTTATAAAGTTTACTGAATGTGCCAAATTTTGTGAAGATACACATTCTATATTAAAAGACAGTACTATTGAAACTATAACAAGTACAAAGTAGTCACGTGTTGGG